TACCCCGTGGCATCTCATGGCTGGTACGGGGAGACCACAGATGCCAGCAGCAGGTAGGTGAGAAGCAGGCAGAGAGATTTATTGTTCTGGGTAGCGACTTAAATACCTTTTGGGGAGATCACAAGGTGACCACTGAGAGTCCAGGAGGTCTCACAAACCAACCAATTACAAGAAAGGGTTAACAACCAATAGGTGAGCTTCCAGGTATCTCTTAGGCATTCCAGAAGTACAGCGAGGGATTTTGGGAAGGAGAAGGTAAGTTTGCACAAGTTACAAAAGCCATTTTGGAAGCATGTTCACTTTAACAACATTACAATTTCTGCATCCTTTTATATATAGCAGAGTTAACCCAACAAAGGATTTCTTCCTATTATCTAAGCTAAATCTACCCTCTTTCAGTTAAAGCCATTCCCCCATGTCCTATCAGTACATGCCCCTGTAAAAAGTCCTCTCAGCTTCCTTGTAGGTCCATTTTAAGTACTGGAAGGATGCTGTAAGAAGGCCCTGGAGCAGTCTCTTCTCCAGTCTGAGCAATCCCAGCTCTCTCAGCCTGTCTTCATGGAAGAGGTAATCCAGCCCTCTGATCAATTTCATGGCCCTTCTCTGGACTCACTCCAGCAGGCTCATGTCCTCCTTATGTTGGGAAACCCAGAGTACTCCAGGTGAGGTCTCATGAGAGCAGCGTAGAGGGGCAGAATTACTTCCCAGAAAATGATCGGCTTTCTGGGCTGCAAGCGCACATTGCTGGGTCAAGTTGAGCTTCTCAACAGCCAACACCCTCAAGTCCCTCTTCTTAGGGCTGGTCTCAAGCTATTCTCCTCTCGGTCTGTATTTATGCTTGGGATTGGCCCAACCCATGTGTAGGACCTTGCACTTGGCCTTGCTGAACCTCATGAGGTTCACACATAACCACTCAAGCCTGTCAAGGACTCTTTGGAAAGCATTCCTTCCCCCCAGCAGGTCAACTGCACCACACAATTTGGTGTTGTTGGCAAACTTGCTGGGGGTGCACTCAATCCCACTGTTCATGTGCCTGTCAAAGATGTTAAGCAGCGCCAGTCCCAATATCTACAAACAATTGTTTGAATTGTCTTTTCAGGTGATCAGATGTATTTTTAATATACTTTCTTTAGTTTTGGCAGAAAATTAAGTCCTCTGAGGATTAGTGGTGTGCTACACCCTGAATTAACTGCCAAAGATGCAATAATTTTTCCCTTCTGCTTAATTGTATTGTGGAAGCAATCAGTCATGCAGTAAAAGCAATTACATTTTTGTTTTTATTCTATTTTCTTACTATTTTTGTTAATATCAAAGTGCATATTGTGTTTGAAAAGCTGCTCTCTGTCAAGCACACTGTCTCTGTGAGAGCAAGGAGGCAAAACAAATCCAACTGTAATGTAATAAGTCTTGGTTTTGAGGTAGGGTACAGGGGAAAAGAAAGATGCATGTACACAAATACCTCATCAAAATATTTTCTTGAAACGTATTTAATAGATTTTGACAAAAATAAGAATTAGAAAGATGTGTCTGCCCTCTGCAGAAAATTGCATCTGTTCAACAAAAACAAAATACCTGAATGTCAAAAATACTCAGCTGAAACATTTTATTCACATCTGCTGATAATAATGCCCCATGGGAATTCAGAAGTCTCATGCCACTACTCTCAGTAGGTTTGGTTCATTAGCAAAGATTTTTCCCCTTGATGCACTTTTGGCCAACATGTGACATGAATATTTTTTTAATGTACTGAGTTTTCAGCTCCTAGGGGGAAATTATATCTATTTGCTGAAAGTTGAAACTATCACTGAAAAAATTCAGTGATTTTATAACTCAGATATTTTACAGATAGGAACAACCTACCTTCTCATATAGAAAACAACCTGCTTCTCAGGAAGCTTTATTTGTAATCTTACCATTACAAAGATCCAGTGTTACAAAGTACAGTAACAACCAACTAACTAACCAGCAGGCTGGGATTCCAACCTGAACTACTCCCTGATATAGGCTGCTGTTGCAGAAAACTGAACGATTTTGGGAAAAAAAAAATTACTTTCTCTTTCAAGAATAATCACAAAGATTGCTTTTCCATTGATTTGTAACACAGCAAAAAAAAGGTCTTAATCTATTGACTCAAGTCCATTACGATTGGACTCAATGATCTAAAAGGCCTTTTCCAACCTAAATGTTTCCATGATTCTGTTAATCCTGCATTCAAATATGCTGAAATAAATCTGTCTTCCCCACTATATGCTGTCTAACTGCATGCCATTCTTTGTAATTCAAAGAGTCAGAATTATTCCCAAATTAGAAGTGATGTTCTGAAATCTCCAAGGATCCAGGAAATGTGTTGATGAGAAAAAAACACCACAAGATTTCTTTGGATCACATTCAGTGATTTCTGCCCTTGATTGCACTGAATCCAAGATTAGTTACACTATACTTTAAAAGTTTAATATTCTCCTGACTATAACTGATGGAAAGTAGTGAGGATGCTCTAGTGGACAATTTGGCTATTGAATTTCTCATATAATTGTATGGTGAATGCACTTGCTAGGTGTCAAGTTTATCAAAAAACCCAGCGTCCAACATGAAGAGCAGTCCTGACAGATTAAAATCAAATTCAAAGGATCCAACCAATCCTGACCATACATTAATCATATATCTTGTAATCATATGAACTGTCATATGAGCAAGGTTTAATTTTTAAAAAAATGCAGCAAGAATAAAATTTAATCATTTTGATGGGGCAAATTTATCACCTCTAAACAGCATTTACTAAAGGATTTTTTAAACATATCAGAGTTCATCGAGTTCAAAGAAAATGAAATAACTGTTCTCCTTTTTAAGTATCTTGAACAACAAGCAGTTGCAAAAGCTCACCAAGCCGTATCCAGAGAAGGAGGTAAACTCAACTTTAACCATGGAAATCTAATTAGTAACAACCCATTCATACACCATAACTCTCAATATGCATGACAAGCAATAGCTTCTGTTGATGGCTTATTATACTGTTCACCAAATTATAAATGTAATAAATTTTCTCACACTTTATATACAGTATTTAAAAATACCTTGTACATATTATTTTGTGTACTGTGGGTCTTGGTTGGAAGAGCTATGAATGTATTTACCAAACAGGTCATTTAATAGATTTTACAGGTTTTCAGAATAAGATACTGAACTTTCTTTTCATTATTACTTATTGTGCAAAATATTGTACATCTTATCATCATTGAATTTTTTTCCTTTAATGGAATACTTTGGAATTCAAAGTCATATTAAGCAACTGTCTTTAAGGCTCTTTTGCTTGGCTCTCGAGCTTAATAGGTTGAAATTGAATTTAGTGGAGCAGAGAGGAGGGTGAGTGGGCAGGGAGAGCACAGTCACAGTGGGTTCAGGGTGTGCAATGCAGTTGTTTGCAGCAGGACTCACATTCTAGTACCTGGGTTTCTCCTTCCATGCCCAGTGTAGACTATTGCAATATCCTTTATTTTCAGGATACAGCACCTCCTCCCTCTCCTTCTTCAGTGGCCTTAGTCTCTTTCTCTCACATATTCTCAGTTCTTTTTCTAGATGCCATTGCTATTCCCTCTTAGCTGTGCTATCCCACTTGCCATTTCAAACCCAGTACTCACAGTTTTGGCAAAAGTTATTTCAACTATCTGTTTCTTTAGAAAGTGAGGAGAAAGACCTGCTTGAAAGGCCACCTTCTCTCCGTCCCCTGGAGCGGTGTCATTGCCAGCAACTGACAGACCTCTGAATCCCTAGGCAGGACACACCCAAGACACATTTTCAAAGCAGAGAACAGTATCTGAAACCAACTAGGGAAGAGTTAATTTTGGTACTAACCATTTGATTGTAATACTCTGCTATATGCTAAAAGCGAGGAAATAAATTACCATAGCAATCAAACACTCTATCTACTGTAATGGCAGGAGCAGACCTGAGCTCTTGTCTGAACCTAGAAACAAAACCGTTCTGTGTCCATCCAAAGATTACAGATATCATGTGAAAATCTCAGGAATGATAACTGTATTTTTCATTGAAATGGCTTCCATTTAGCCCCATCACTTGGAGATGATAAAAAAGGGGAAATGAAAGGTAAAAGATGAATGTACCTACACATAATAGTGAGAGTATGCATGAAAGATGGTCCTATACAGCATACCAACTATAGCTCTAAAACAAAGATTTAGGAGTTAATGAGAGTGTCAGTGGTGGTTAATGCAGTGCTCTGCATGGGATATAAATGAGGCGATACCTTTCTACAGTAAGGAAAGCGCAATTTCAAATTGTCTTTGATATCAACATGCAACAACTGTGAGCAAATATTGAATTCATAATGGCAATTAATGCATGTTAATTACTGAATAAATTATGTTGCACATAATAGATAGTAAATTGCAAAAACTTTGCAACTTTTCAAATGCTAAAAATAGAATAAATATAGATTAAGAAAAAAGTTTTCTTAAAACTATGAAAAAAATAGTGAAAAGTAGTACTTTCCTGAAGTTGATAATTTGATTTAAAACAAGATAATTGGGAAAAAAACCATATCACAATAGGCACACTTTCCTCCTGTTTATCTTCTTTGTTTTCCTTAACTCCTTAGTCACAACAGTAGGGCAATTGGGATGACATCATCTGACCTACACAGAACACTACAATTGTGAGGTGCATTGCTGAATAATCAGAATTTTTCTACTAGTATGCCCATTCTGTAGTCTGAGTTAATACACTATACTGAAAATTTAATATCTTTGCAATCATTTTAATATAGAACAGAACAAAACTGTGCTGAAAAATGCTTACATTTAAATAAATTATAGCAAGTTAGCAAAATGCAGAGGTTGAGATACAGGGTGCATTGTGGGCATAAGGCATCTTTGTCTAAAAAGGATTCAAAAGATGTTTTATCTCTGAGTTCTTGAGGTCTGAAAAGAAAGTCGTCAATAAAGGGAGCAATAGAGGAAGCTAGCTTTTTCATACAGTAAGCAAACCTTTGTAAGGGCAGATCCACCGCATAATCCTTATTTACTGGAGTCTAAACTCTTGGAAGCAAATGTAAATATTCAGCACAAGATTGTGTGCACAATGCAGACATTCTTTATTCCTTCAGAGCAAGGCCTCTTCAGTATAGCTCATTGTCAATACAAGATAGTTGTCTGTGGAGAGAAAAGAAAAAAGCACGTTGTCCACTGTACACTTTATCTCTTGCTCCAAAATCAAGCTTATTCTAATTTGAAACAAGTCTTTCTCAAGTCTTGGCATCAAGATATTTTCATGTAATAAATATGTATAAGCAAGTTCCTTATTACAGATTCCACAAAGGGTTTTATTCAGGTCTCTAGATGACATTTTTAAGAAAAGCCTATTTTGTGTGCGTGTTAGGCAGTTTTCACAATTCTTATATTTGATAAAATTTGTAAACAAAACTATTAGAATTTCATTAAATTACTGTGACACATAGAGACAATATAACATACTCAGTTCTGGAATATATAATGTGTGGCAATATTTTAAAATTAGGGATTGTCTTGTTCATTGTCTTTGTTCTGCATGTCATCAGTGTGCTCTAGTGAGAGTGGTTTGGTACTGTGAAGTTTTAGTTAAGTTAATGGGCATTTTGCACTATGTAGTGTAAACAGTTTGAATGTATATGAAAATGAGCCTGGGGAGGTGGGGGTGGTGTTCTTTAGAATATTATTACTCAATTATCTAAATAGGTTGATATGTCATATTTTGTCATTTGATAATTATTTTGCAATGCTCTTAGCAGACATGTTGCTTCCCTAGGTAGTGATTGTCTGAAGATTTCATTACAAACAGGAGCCTTCAGGGAAGAATGTTGCCTAATGAAATTAATCATTATGCAGGTTTACTCTTTAATAAGGTACTTTGTAAGAGATTATTTCTAGATGGAATATATTAGTGTGGATATGCTGTTTTGACAGTCACCACAGTATGTGAGAAAGAGAGAGAGTAGGAGAGAAGATGGGAAGGAGGGAGAGAGGAGAAGAGGAAAGAGAGGGCTGAAAGAGAGGGAGAGAAGAAACAACTCTTTACCATCCCTTTCTCTTGCTCCCTTGACTTGCACTTGTTTGGAATTTGTTTGACCTCGGCAAACCATCTGATTGTTGACCTGGTTGTTGATTGCATGATAGATGGAAGATGACTGCATGACTGCAAAGAGGGAAGATGTATTCTACAGTGTACCAGGTTTGGTACATTTTTGAGCTGTCTTTATTTTGCCCCACAGGTGTCAGTGCAATTCAAATAATCAGTAGAGAGGCTGGACTTGATACAGAGAAATTGGATTTTATCTCCTCTTCCTATTTTAACTCTTAGTATTTTTTTTTCAGAACCGGAGAGCCAATGATTCACTTGTCTCTTCCAGTATAGGACTTGAACTTCTTACTTTTCTCTTTTTTTTTTTTTTTTTAATTTTTTTTAATAGTGCACTGTCTATTGAGCTTGAGGTTACATGTAGTTATACAATTAGGAAGATCTTTGTTCTAGAAAAATGAAAAAATAAATTAATGAATTCAAGATGCAGGATAGCCACAACTGCTTACAACACCTTAAAAACTAATTCTAGTCAAGCTTCAGATCATACACTGTTGACAGACTTCCCCAAAATCTATTTTGCTTTTTTGCAAATATAGTTTACTTCCTACTCAATGTATTCTTAACTGTGTTTGAACACAAATTAATACTTAAAGATTAAAAGAAGAAATGTCTTATAGTTTTCCAATGACCATCAACAGAGTTATTAGATGGCTGATGCACCACGGATTATCATTTGAGACTTTAACAATTGGAGGGTTTGATCCTTATCTTTCTTTTGACTACCTCTCATAAAAAACTTTGTATTGACTCCAGAATTAGCTCTATAGGCAAGAAAATCATCCTATGACCTTGGGCGTGAAATCAGAGCTGTCCCACAAGTCAAGTTCAAACAACACTGCAAGTCATCCAAGGATGATAGGGGATGATGCAGGAGCCCGTGCTTCAGCTTCATGTGTGTCCAGTGCCAGGTTACTTTTCTGCAGTCTGCATTGGTAGAGGAAGACATAACTTCTGCATCAGTGCTGTGGCAGAGGGAGATGTCTTTCATGTCAGACAGTTCTAACAGAAAAGGTGTATGGTAGACTATCCTTCCCTCTCTTCGCTCATCCATGCATATCACAGATTTTTTTTTTTCTTTTGTTCAACATGTGTTCTTGGAATTCACAATATATTACCTTCTGAGATGAAAAACTACTATACTTCAGCAAAGGGTATATTATGAATTTAACATAAAAATGGGAAATGTTGAAAAGAGATAAGGCTTATGAAAGGGCATGGTATTTTACTTGGTTTTATTGTTGTGAACACTGGTTTAATTCACATAAATTAGCTAGAGATCTATAGGCTTGGTATTTTTCTCAGATGAAGAACACAGTCTGCAAAGGAAAGGAGGAAAAAGCAATTATTTTTTGTGAGCATAAACTATAAACTATCAAATTTGCTAATTTGGACACTAGCTTCACTCTGAAGCTTAGCCAGCCTTTTATAATTTAACAAGTAGCCCTGATAATCTGCTGCATTGTGCACAATCATTGTGCCATTTCTAATTAAAATTGACAAACCCCCTGAAACTTCCCCTAGACAAATGTGACAAGTTTAGAATAGCTTGAACTGGTTTAACTCTTTGGGACTGTATTTCTAAGTAGGCTCTTTTTAGAAGCAACAATGTGTAGAATACTCTAAAAAGCCTGTACAAATACCCAGAAAATCACCATAGATTTCTCATGATGATGTGTAAACAATGCCTACAAAACATTTACCATATGAGAAAACATAGTGAAAGCACCATTTTCTCTCTAGGCATGTTCAAGATACCTTGTGCTTATTTGGAAGGAGAGTTTCTGAGAAAAATGTTGTCTTGTATACAATGCGATCAGGTCTGCTGCCTGGATGGTTGCTTGTCTGTTAAACTTCAAATTCCTACTGCAAAATACACTGTGTGCTGGGGCTCTTATAAATGACCTACTTAGTCTTGATAGAGGCAGCACTGGACCACCTAATACAAAGGCACCATTTGATAACTCCTCTTCTGCAACGAGACGGTGTCCTCGTGGTTCTATAAAAGAGTGACTGGAGGGTACAACAATTTGTGGATTAGGAAGTCAGAATCCTTTGGTCTTTTTCTGTACCATGTAGAATTATTATAATCCTCTCTTCCATACCTATGATTAAAACTGATTGTGTAATATTTATCAAAAAATATTTGTCTCTGCTTCTGTGAAAGTAGTGCACTCCTTAAAGATTATTTTTTTTATGAAGCAAATGAAATAGGGGAAAAATATTGCTAATATATGCATGTGATGTGTACAATCATGTAAGACTGTGTGTATTTTACATATTTCAGGAGAAGAATTTTGCCTGCAGCAATGCAGTTAATTTCTGGAACATTCAGAGAAAATTTCTGAGACCATATGTGGGGGAAGGGAGACAGAGAGGGGGGAAGGAAATGACACCAAAATGCAGATCTGCTGTTACTCATGTGTTTGGGCACTTCTGGATACTGGTGTTCTTAACATCTTTACAGAGTACTGAAGTAGCTTTTGTAGAGACATTTCTTTCTGGAAGGAAAGTACATTTTTATTGATGGTGGCTCTCTTTTGCCGTATGAATACAGAACACATGATGCTGAAGGCCAAATCTTGGCCAAGAGACCTAGCTAGTGATGCAACTGATGTATAAAGCACATACTCAGTAAGCATATGGTTTATAAAAAGAAGAGAACTGTGTTCTTTGAATGTATGTCTTGCAGGTAGAGAAATCAGCATAGGGGTTGAAATACATGGTTTTGCATTCCTACCTCCAAAGTGTAAAAAGCTAACCAAACAAATGAGTATTGTCCAGAATGCTTGTGGTTTTTGAGAGGATTTATTTTTCTCTATTTTGCACTTGTGTCTTCACATGTGACAATGTGGTCCAGGAGGAGAATTCTATTTCCTTGAGAACTTAATGACAGAGATGTTGGTTCAGGAAGAGGAAGATAAAGTTCTGCATAAAAGTTTTGTGATTTAGAGAGAAGAAAATAATAAAATTAAAAGAAAAAGAAAGAAAGCCTTTTCTCTTTCTATTTTTCCCCTATCTTTGTGTGTGTGTGTGTGTTTTGGTTTTTGTTACAAATGAACAAAGGCAGGAATTTAAAGAAAAAAACCCTTCTATGTATGACTTGAATTTGAGACCAATTTTTTCTAAGTTCTTTGTGAAAAGCAGACGATATAAAAGTCCATAAAAAGCTATAGTCTCTCAGATTCCTAGTGCAATAAAACGAGTCTCTTTTTTATAGCTGTTATTTCTTTAGATTGAGTAATGTACCTGACCTAGCCTATGCTTCCTTGTTTCTGTCTTTGTTGATGAGACACATGAATAGCATTTTATTTCCTGGTTTCCCTCTCCTTCTCTCTCTTCTCAAGTACTTGGATTCATGTATAGCATATTTTGGCTTCATATATCCTCTTGCATGATGAAGCATCTGCCTGTGGTGCTGAAGCTACTGGCAGTGCCTGTGTTTGCCCCAGAGCACATTACAGATGGTAGTGTCATTGCAGATAATGATAGCCTAATATACTCAGGGTAGCAACAGGGGACAGATGCTGCTTTTGTTCAGCTATCAGTGGCAGATCCACCCTCCAAACTGGGGTGGAGGGGAGAAAACGCCTCTGAAAAAAGAAGCAGAGCTGGCAATTTAGGTAAAGACCACTGGGTGGGGCAAAAGTGCACCTCATTAAAAATAAAAACAAAAAACAAAAACGTGGGTGATTTGTCGGAAACATCAGGGTAATCAAAAGCATGACTTTTTTTAGGGTGACCAAGAGATTCTCAAATATGTGAAATAACAGTTTCTAGATATGAAACAGTACACATTCTTCATTACTTTATTACTTCCACAATAATTTACATCAGATTACACAGGGGACCATTTCAAGGCATTTTGTCTCTCAGGATATGGATGTGAGTAAATCGCACCCTATAATCTGCCATCATCCCCAGCGCTTTTTCCAGGGGGATTTACACTCACACATAAAATAAACATTTAAACCCCCACGTAAATGGCAAAGGCCCTTTCTTTCAGAGACTACAAGCATCTAAAGAACATGTTGTTTATCTTTTGCCCTTGTGCAGTCAGATGAGGAAAGCCTTATCAGATCATACCGTTAAGTAGGAATTTAACTTTATCGCTATTTTCACTGAGTGTAATATTTTAACAAATTACATTTGTCCTATTTCTCAGTTTAATAGCTCGAGATCCTAAAAGAAAATTACATGTTTTTAATGATTAACATGATTTTAGCACAAAGCAGCATATTTTCCTCTTGTAGTTAGCAACACCAATGAAGGAATGGACCTCAGGTTATCAGTCATCCATGTTCAGCTGGTGTACCAGAAACACAGGAGAGAAGCCAGTAGCTGAGGGAAAAAAAAAAAATCACACTGTATATGATCTTAACTTCTTGTATATCCTCTTACCCATACTCGGATCTGCCATCTGTTTTCTGCCATAATGTAATTGCTCTGCTTGAGGTCCTTGAAGAGGTTTCTTCCCATAGCACTGCTTTTCTTTTCATATTTTCCTGTGGGATGGAAAACTGTTGGCTTGATTTCAGCAAGCCCCTGAAAAGGAAGACATAAGGAAGAAGGAAGGCAGTATTATGGACTTTTCTAAGATTTTTCTCCCAGACTTGTTCCTGCAGAGTGATCAGAAAACAAACAACGCAATCCTCACTGGCATTATAACACTACTGCCATTTTCAAAATTAACCAGTGTTTTACATGTAGTTGTTGAAGAACCAAATCCAAGTTGGAGTATTTATTGCCTTTTTCCCTTTAGAGGAGGCCATGAACATACTTTTTTAAAATTTATTTTCATCTTCCTACATTTTCATGGCTGTATCCATCTGTAACTCTAGAAGGCCTCTCAGATTTATGAACTCAGTGACTGTTATCATTTGTGTCATAGCGTCAGTGGACAGGACAGCTTATAATACTGTACCATTTTCTGCAGGGAGAACAGGACACCATATCTTATTTTCAGCAAAAAGACTGAAGCAAGGTGATAAAAGCCACTATACTTCCTCAGTCATTTAACTCAATGGCTGGCACCCTTTTTCACTGATTTTACATCTTTCTACAAACATCCCTATTAGAGCTACTTCCTGTGACTAAAACAGCCATCTGCCAGGGCTTGCAAGTCCTTCTGCCCCTGGAGAGGATCATTTCACCTCACTCTTCTTAGAGAAACTGACCACCTGGACATATTTCTACTTGTAGTGCTTGGTCTACAAAATGAGCTGCTGATTTCAGCCCATTTCCTGTTCATCAGGCATACCAATCAGCAAAACCTCATTAAAACAGATGTTACTATCTTTAAGTGGCTTTAAAAGAGAAGACACTGGAGAGCTGAACTACCTTGCAGAAATTTCCAGATGTGAAATGGTCTAATGTACATCACTTTCTTAGTGCTCCTAGCTCGTGGATAAATGAACTTTGTTCTCTCTTGTTGCCAGCTTTGCATTTTTCAAAATATTAAAAACTAACTTAAGGAAAAGCAAGCATACTCACAGATAGCAGCACCTGAGCTGCTTAGAGTGTTTCAGAGGATACCAGCACAGCAAACAAAAAACCCTCTGCTAATGTCTCAGAATATCTTTTAATTGTCCTGTTGTGGTGGTGCTAAACACAGAAATAAAAAAAGTTAATCTCAACAGTTTAGGTAGTTTTTCAGAAAAGGGGGATTACTAAAATATGGAGACCCTACCCCTGGTTTGCCAAGCAAGTGGATATTGAACTCATAACTTCTGTCCTGTAACAACACAATCATCTTTCCACTTTACCTTGTACAGCAAAGCTAAGATAGTAATGCTTTTTAATAGTGTCATTACTGATGGTACTTATTACTTAAAAGATTATCCAGTGTTGTAGCACAGCTGACAGTCAAACTGTATCTGCTTATACCAGAGCAGAATCTGTTTCATAAGGCATTATAAAATTTGAAGCACTTCAAACATATAGGTAACCATGACCATATACAAACGCGGAGACTGAAATACAAGGTTTGGATTTTCCTCCAGGGAACTCTCCCTATCCACCACTGCAGTACAAAACAGAGTCTTCCAAATTTGGTTTTTGGTCCTACTATTGGCTTGAGCATACTTTAACTAGGGCTTCCAAGGTATCTTCTCCCAAGAACTGTAAGGTTGTGAGTTGCTACTCTTCCAAAAATCCCTGTCTAAAGTAGCTGCAACATTCCAGTGAATGCACTGCAGATTTCCGTTTCGATTTATACCTCCTGACTTTCTATATTTGTCTTTGACCACCAAGATCTTCTTTTTCATAATTGTGTTGTGAATTAAATGCAGCAATACATTCAATGTGGGTTCCATAGTCAATACAATTGTCAATAGCAACTTAATATATTCATTTAGGGCCTAAAGTAAATTTAATAAAAATTGCATAAGAGTTAATTAACATAAAACAGCTGAATGCCAAATGAATTAAATAAACTAAAATAAAGTTCATGTTTTAATCAGTAAAGCCTTGTTGCTTAACAGCTCCTCCAGGCTTAATGTTCAGCTTAGTTTCTGGATCACACTCTTTCAAATTGCTCCACAGAGACATAAATCTGACTGCAGCTACTGTATACTCTTGTGAGAGTGAGTACATGTGTATATTTCTGAGTGGGAATGTAAAATATAGATTGCTGATGCATTGCATGTGAATTAATCCTTTCTACAGTAGGAAAAATACATTGTAATGTATTTCTCTTACAGAACACTGTTGAATATTTTCAACTTTGTTTTGTTTTGGGTGATAACAGAGAAATTCTGGAATATTATTCGATTCAATTAGACTGTGTGAAAGCTGGATAATGTTTATGACTTTACTGGAATTTTCCTGAATAGACACCAACATATTTGAAATCTCATGGTAGCCCGAAGTTCCCTCCTTTGACATGCTTTCACTCCAATATTTTTCTTTCTTGAGGTAAAAAATAAAATAAAAAAAAAAAATCACAATCTGGTATTCCATTGATCTAGGACACGTGTTTCAAAATAATATCCAAACTTACACTTAAACCCACACAATTAGGTAAGTTATCTGCATTATGGCACGTGTTAGTCTGCTCTGACTTCCTCTATGCCTCATCACGCAATCCAGTGAACACTACGGAATCAATGAGTGAAAATGCAGCATAAGATGTCTTTTCTCCTTCTGGTGTCTTACTGAAGTCAGGAAGACTTGGCCAAAACATCCTCTAAACAACAAAGTTACTGCTATTTGACAAGGTGCAGCAACTAAGCGATCGATACACTAGCTAGCCACTTCCTGGATTTGAAGTGATTGGGTTGAACTCCCAGTACGTGTCCACTGGCACTCCTGGGGCCCTGCCCTGGCTGCTGTGTGTCTGTCTGGGAAGATGAAGAGAGATATGTTGTGCATTAGCTGAAACACTGGGTCCAGGATGCATCAGACAAGTATTTTTTTGTATGCTTGAAGATACATCTGAATTTTCTGACAAATTTAAAAAACTTGCAATTTTTGTTAATAATTACATGGAAATCTACTCGCATGGTTACCTAGCTTATATCAGTATTAATAATATACTCCCTTGTCCAGTGGATATTTCTACTAAGGACTTGTGTTATCATATAAGTTATCTGAGGGGTTTTTCTTCTTAATTTTCCCTATCTGTAAGCTCATAATAGTGCTATTCTGTATTGCAAAGATTGTGAAACAAAAATGTCAGGAAGCACTTTTTGAGCCTCTAGTAGAAAGTTTCACACAAGTGGAAAGTGTCTTTTTTATTTTCTGAAGTCTATAAATGATTCTGCAACTCAAAGTAAACTTGTGAAAAGCAATTTTCTGCAGCAAAATAGTTCACATGATCCTACATAAGACAAGTAAGTAATATCTGTTGAAGTTGTGTGCTTCAACTACAACTAATCAAATTCTAGAAATTTCTAGTGGGAGCAATTACTGAATGAAATCATGCTAATATGCATAATTAATATTAAGCATGACTTGTTAGGGTTTTTTAACCGGTAGTAATTTTAAATACCTTGTTAAATGACTAAAGATCACTATTAAAGAGGGTCCCCTCTGATAAGCCTGTAGCCACCAGTACTGTGTCTCAAAAGATATACTTGTGGAAAAAGGGCCAGTCATCCTATTGCTATTGATATGACTTAGAGAATCAGTGCATGAAGTTTTCTAGGGTCAGTCACATATACAATGGAAAATATTTTTAAGGGAGAAATGTAACAACATGTTTCACAGCCTAGAGAAGACAAATCCTGAGGTGCACTCTTGATTTTAAACAAACTTGCTAATATACAAAGTTTTGATGAATGCCGTTTATAGTCTCTACATCAATATCTCACTGTTAGACCCACCTAGTCAAACCAATTTGATTTTGATGATGTGGAGGATGTCACTCAGGTTTCTTTATAAATTTCCTACTACTTTTCTTTGGTAAAACTTTAAAAAAAAAAAAAAAAATATTTAGAGGGTACCCAAACTGACCTAAAGGCATCACAAACCAGAAGAACATATGAAGTTCAAAAATAACTATTGAATCACAGTTGGGATTTCCCTGCTTTGTACCCAGTGATGTAACGTCTCTTGGTCTGCAAGAATCCATTTCGATGGTATAGTAGAAACTAAGGTAAACAACATTCTCCATGAGACAACGTTTCTTGGGAAGATTTTGTTGCCACTTTCTTTTGGGGTTTTTTCCCACTTTTTTGTTGTCATTGATATTTCCCATAAACAAGGGTGATCCTGGTTAAGGCAAGGCAAGGACATTAAATCTATTCCAAAGCAGTTTACACACACTTTAACAGAGCAAGAATATCAGTCCTATACCTTGTGCAGTCTCTCCACTGAGTTCAGCTACAGCGCAAAAAAAACATTGGTGCAGATTTGTCAGCAGAATGCCCCCAAATCAACACAAAATAGAGGTCAAAACAAAAGTGGAGGGTGAATCAGTTATTGAGCAATCTCTAAAGAAAATCAAGGCCAGGTTAAATGCAGCTTATGCAATTCTTTTTAAAGAGGATATTCAATAAATTTATGGACCTGCACTCCTGATTCTCAGGCTCGAGCAAATGAGAGCTGAGTGGAGAATACATTTTATTCATATCAATCTTTGCTGCTGTGCCACAGACAACTGACCCCATGGATGACTTGAAACACAGTTCAATCAGTCACTGAATCCTTCAGTTGCTGTGCTTCCTTACTTGGGATCTCTGCCCAGCAGAACATTTTATGTTTTGAGAGATTGCGCATCAGTCATAAGGACAAGTACCCAGAGTGAAGTAGAGGGTCTCTCTAGACAAGAAAGAGAGGCTAATATACCAAGATATAAAAACATTCAATGTCTAAGTTTAGATGTTCTACAGCTAAAAATAGCATGACTTCAGAGGACTTACTTTATTTGCAGACTTGGTTCAATATACGAATTACATACCACTCATTCGAGAAGCTATATGTGCAGACTAGTGAATGCATTTAGATATGTATATGATGTATTGCAATTTAACCCTTAAATGCTCATCTTCACAAGGCTTGTGCTGATTCAGCATCTACAGTAATTCCAAAGTGTGGGTTTATTG